GTCCTTTTTAATTTATCCAGCCGGTTTTCTCAAAATCCATAAGTTTAAGACAAAAATCTTTCATGCACAAGTTTTATGACATCAAGGAGGAAAGAAATTGGTAACCTCTTATAGCGTTTTTCATTCGCAAAGCGCACTCAGTGCACTTTAAAGTCGTTGTACACAAATCAACGTAAAGATGTACGTTTAATAAAAATATATAAACGAATTAATTCGCAAAATCCTCAATACATTTAATTGTGCTATTTAATAAAACATACATTGGGTATTTTATTAATTGAGATATTTCACTTTTATTCAGATTAGATTAATGTACAACAGCTTTAATGAGTACTGACAAGGAGAGGCTACGCTCTGTTCTTCACCGATTTTGATCAAATTTGCAGCAATATTAGAGGAGTCTACCAAATGAACACCTGTAAAGCCGTGGGGCTAATGGGGCTTAAAAACTGAGTAATGAGCATTTAAAAATATACCAAAAAATCTGAAAACAGTCTAATATCTCAGAAAGTATGCAGTTTTGAGAAAAATATTTTAAACAAAAAAAATGGTAGTTTAATAAGATGTATTTACTGGTTTTATTGGTTTGACCTTGGGTTGCATCGCTAAGGTCAAGTCAAGGTTGACGAGGTATATTTTTAAATGCTCATTACTCAGCTTCTAAACCTCATTAGCGGGAATGGCTTTACAGATGTTCATTTGGTAGACTCCTCTAACATTGCTGCAAGTTTGATCAAAATCGGTGAAGAGCAGAGCGTAGCCTCCTTGTGAGTGCGTACCAGTTCTGCCAGTGAAAAACGCTATTAGTTAACTTTGATAAGATGTCCTCAAAGTTATTAAAAATTTTTTTAATGAAACTCCCTATTTTTACTACATATTCTTGTAACTAACTTCAAGACTTTTTGACCTAACCTTAAAAATATGGGTCAAACTACAGAATTGGGGACTCCCCCTCCTATGACCTTGACCTTGACATATGTTGTCAAGGTCATGATCCTGAGTAACCTCCAACAAGTTTTAGCCGTCGCTCGTCCTTCGTTAAAAAGTTATTAACAAAAGAAGTTTGAAAAATAACGTATTATTTTTGCTATATATGCAATATTAAATACTATTCTACATAGGTTTTAACTTTCAGGGGCGCACGACTCTCACCTTCGACTCTCATCCCTGGAAAGTCTTGCGCCCCTGAAGCAGGCGGGAGGGGGATGAGAGTCGAAGGTGAGAGTTGGGCGCCCCTGAAACAGGGGGAGAGGGAGTGAGAGTTGGGAGGTGAGAGTCGTGCGCCCCTGAAGCAGGGGGGAAGGGGGTGAGAGTTGGAGGTGAGAGTCTTGCGCCCCTGAAGCAGGAGAGAGGAGGGGTGAGAGTCGAAGGTGAGAGTCGGGCGCCCCTGAAGGAGGGGAGAGGGGGGGATGAGAGTCGAAGGTGAGAGTTGGGCGTCCCTGAAACAGGGAGAGAGGGGGTGAGAGTCGAAGGTGAGAGTCGTGCGCCCCTGGAGCAGGGGGGAGAGGGATGAGAGTTGGAGGTGAGAGTCGTGCGCCCCTGAAGCAGGGGGGAGGGGGTGAGAGTCGGAGGTGAGAGTCGTGTACCAATGAAGGGTCAAAACCTATATAGAATAGTATTCAATATTGCATATATAGCAGAAATAATATATTATTTTTCAAACTTTTTTTGTTAATAACTCTTTAACGAAGGACGAGCGACAGCTAAAATTTGGTGGAGGTTACTCAGGGTCATGACCTTGACAACATATGTCAAGGTCAAGGTCATAGGAGGAGGAGTCCCCTATTCTGTAGAATTACCAAAATATGTTCTTAAGGCCAACTAAGATCATCAACTTCTTTCCACCTTAAAGCCATAAAACTTTTTGTCTGAAACATTTTCATCTTAAACTGAAGGATTTTGAGAAAAACGGCTGGATAAATTAAAATGGGACGCACTGAATGTAAAACGAGAAAAAAGTGTAAATCAAATACATCGTGACATCTGACGCAAAACGGATAAGCTCGCTAAAAATCATAGATGCACATTCAATGCAAAAATATATCAAGCACGATTATAGTTATCGCGAGATTATATTGTCTTGTGTAAGCTGGCCTGATCATTCCAGGTAACACGTATCAAAGAAGCGATTCTATCAAGAAATTCGTATACATCTAGTCTTAAAAAATAAAGTAAAATTGCACCTGCTAAAACCATTCCATATCCAAGTAAAAAGAGATTTTTCAATTATAAGTTTCCAAAAAAGACGACAAAATATTATGTATTAATTTTTCGTAATAATTTGTTCTACGCTTTCTGAATGATCTCGAAACCTTCTTTTTACTATTCTGCAAAATTATTTTTTCTGCTGCAAATTTAGTTAATCCGTAACATTCTATATCAAGAATGATATATTGAATATACAAGTTCATAGATAATTAAAAGAGAGCTCTCCAAGAAATTTTCTTTTATTATATCCCGCGCATAATTAACTAGTCAGAAGCTCGTATGAACGAGAATCTCAACAATTGGACTCAATGTATCGAGGCTACAGGAGGGAAGGTGTACCTGGTTAGTGAGGAATATCAGGCTCGTGCTGTGCCTGCGTCTGGTCAAATGAGAGGCAGGATCTCTTGGAGGGACACCACCTAGAGCTGTGGGGCTCTGAAACATATCATGCTGAAAACCCCTCCCCATACAAACATTCCAGCTACAAGTCTCTACTTATCGCATACCTATATACCGCATTTGTAAATTTATTTGTAAGCAGAGACCAATTGTGACTTCGTAATCGTTATTTTAATCTGTTATCAACGTACGTATCATAAATACTTTGATATGTATTTCGGAACGATCGTATATGTAGTATAGGTATAAGAGTATAAGTATTATATCGTTAAGTAGTAAATTAATACTGCTGAGAATGTTGCTATTGTACATGTTAGGCCGATGCTAACGCAAAGTGTCAAAACAAGTTTTGTAAAAAGCCGTGCACTTCTTTTAGTAATTTCTAAGTAATGGGATATTCTAGTGTTTTTTGTTTATTCTCTTCAGCATATTGTGCAGCAATGTTTTATCTACACATAATTAAATTAAGTTTTGTCAGAAACTATTATTTCACTAATAAGAATTAAGATAATACTTTATGCCATAATAAATATGCTCACAGAAACTGCGTAATTCAAAAGTTAATAAGGTATAAATAATTAACAAAAGCATTAAAATAAGTCTGCGCAAATCAATAAAATATGAGCATGCAACATTCAAATGTAATATAGAGGAGATATTTCACACAGAAAATATAATTTTTATATATTATTTTCCTATACATGTATAAAGTGTCTCAATAACTATTACCGCCTTAAATATCTTCGAATCTAAGGTTCACAGGAAAATTTGTGTAATAAAATGCACGATACAAAGGGGGCTATCATATAACAGTAATAATTTTTGTTCAGATAGAGGCGCTTCGGAGATTTTAAGACCAACGTTTTTTAAACTGGGACTATATAATTTTTTTTACGTAATATACCATGATAATTATTATGCATATTAGAATATTTAGTTAGAGATACAAAAAACTAATAGTTTTGAGATCCTCCTCAATACTATTGCTCGTGGCCGAGCGTAGTGATTTCTCTCATATGCTTGTGGTGCGCACGCTGGTTGTACACACTCATATGGGACCTATAGTTTAAACGTCGATTCCAAACGATGAAATTTTGTTAGAGAAGTGCTCTTGGCAAGGATACTCTCGGTGAGTTGCTGTTTACCAAAGGTCCCGACACAACTTTCGCCCTCCCTCCCTCCCACACTCTCCCTCTCTCTCCCTCTTTCTGCCCCCCTCTCCCTCTCTTACTCCTCTCTCTCTCTGCTAAAGAGGACATGTTGAACATCGATCCGTCAAAATAATCAATTTTCAATCGTTAAATAGTGAGTGACAGTGAGCAAAATTGTTCAAGTAATAGATGTATAGACTAGGAATAACTATGAGTGTTATCTAGCCGGGATATGTTGATTTGTGAGGCAGAGATGCATTTCTTTGCGTGGATATCGGAATCTTGTAAGACAGGCAGACATTATACGTGGACACGGAAGTGCTGACGTGTGACAGTAATAAAGGTGAATGATCGTCTAAACTGATAACAGCGGTTTCGGCCGATAATTGTCAACATGAACAGTGAATATGCAGATTATCGATGCTCGGCATGTAAAAAACCAATAAAGAACAAAGTTGTTAAATGCGAGTCTTGTGTTAAGCTCTTTTATCATCAGGGATGTGTAATTAACAGGGATGGGAAGTAATTCGTTACTTGTAACGAAGTTACAGTTAGAGTTACTTTTTTTCAGTAACTGTAACTTAACTTCGTTACTTTCTTTCCATCTGTAACTATAATTTAACTTAGTTACATCTTTTAAGTAACTAGTAACTAAATTAATAGTTACTTTCATAGTTATTTTATATATTTTAAACTTATTTGTCAGTGTGCGGTAGTGTCCACTTGGCGCTACAAATACTTCGAAACATTTGATTAATCAGAAGAAAGAAATTTAACTAAAGCATTCAATGAACTATTGTAGGTACCTGTTTGGTCTATATTTTGGGATCTAATGGAATCCGCCAATCAAATACAAGAGCGCTCCGTGAACAGTTGTACACCATTTTGAATTAGTGCTGGAATTTATTTGTAACTTTTAGCCAAATATAAAAAGAATTTTTTTTTACAAAAAACATTGTATATGTGTGCTATTTCATATTCAT